GGAAACGGTCAGACGTTTCAGCTAGTATCCACTAGCTTTCGTCAGTGACTGAGAGACCGGAGGGGAAATGCAGGTTTATAAGCACAAACTACAGCTGAAATGTCTGACCATTTCCAAAATCATATCCAGTTGCTTGAGTAACTGGTTTTTGGCGTATCATATTACCTGGATGTCTAACCTTCATCGAATGATACTTACACTTTGCTCTGACAATGGCTCAGTAAACAGGCTGGCTATAACAGTAAAAATGCCTGCACTGACAAACAGGATGAGGTTGAAGTACAGGAAGTGTAGTTTCACCACCTCAGGTCTGGTGTCCACGGTCGGACAGGTCGGTTTGGGGTAAACAAAGTCCAGAATCAGGCGAATGATGCCCACTGTAGTTCCAAACATGACGCCCCAAAATGCACCCTGTTGGAAACAATAAAGAGTTTTATAAGAAATTATTGCAACAACAGATTTATTTACCTTTGTTTTGGCTGACATTTAATCATCCTTATCATCCATAAAACAGTTATTGTTTTACCTAGTACTGACTATTCATCTGAAGTTTTTGAGTTTTGTACTTAGATAGAATGAAAAAGTTATATGATACCATTATGTCTTGCAAAGGATGAAGAGGATAAGCACCTGTAAGTAAACAAGTACACGGGGTATAACTCTTACTCTTCTGAGTAAGTGTGTTGGATTCTTTAATGTGCAGAGGTTTGATGCTATATATAGTCTTCCAGCTAGCTTTATATGCATCTAAAAGGACAGTCTACCTTATTATTATTGTGCAGTAGTTGTACAGAATACAATGATTGACAGCAGTGTGATATTACATAATGTCGTAATGATACCAGTCTACAAGATCTTTATGAACAAAATTAAACTACCACCCTATGTATGTGTACCGGATGTTTGTCTACTGCAGTGATCAAACCACTAGACCAACCAAAGCATGTGAGTTATAAAGCAATCACCTGGTTGTCCCAAAACCTTGGCCTGAGACCTTCAGTAGATCCATAGACATATATATATAGATGCAGTATTAGATAACTATATGTTTATGGATTTTGTAGGACTTCATGTAACCTGTATTTTGATATATTTATTCTGACCCTGGCCTCTTCCCTCATGGCCTCAATAAAAAGTAGCCTGCAGGCTGATTTGAGTATTTCATAAATAAACAAACTTAGAGGTTCAAACAAAAAACAATGTACACCTTTTCCTTTTTGTACTGCATTGCATGTTAAATAATTATTGCCATACATTGTACCTTGTACAATTGTCATGCAATAAAGTTCTTCTATGTTGCATAAAGTACACTCTATACCTGTTCAGTGCAAAAGGAGTTTTTTAGGAGTTGTTACTCCAGCAACTGGATAGATTTTGAAAACTGTCAAACATTTCAAGTAGCATCCACTACTTTCATAAGTGACTGTCATAGATGAAAAGTAGTGGATGCTACTTGACAGTTTTCAAAATTTATCCAGTTGCTGGATGTCTAACCTTTGTCGACGTACCTAAGGTAGATAAGTGAGAACTTCACGCACTTGTGTCATTAATAGCCTCTGTACACTTGAAGAAGCCACACAGGTGAAACCGGTCGTGTGACAGGCTGAATAAAAGTTCTAAACAGGAAATGTGCAGCTCCAGATGTCTTACTGAGGGACGACTGTGTGTGCGAGATGTCGGTTAGCTTGAGAAATGAATCCCCTCTACTATATACTTCGTCGACATACCTGTTCAGTAGTTCTTGTCCAGAGAATGGCCAGTAGGAAGGTTGCAGCCATGGCTGGAGTGATGCTGCCTGACATGAACTGTATGTAGATGAAGAGTTGAGCTCCCTGAGCACCCTTCACAAACGGGATCCAGGCTATACTCACTAACACCATCACTAACACTGCCACTCTGGAACAACATGTTTCAGGTATTATAACTAAGGTTGTTGCTGCGATATTTTAATAAAACTCAGGGACAGGATAAGTTCAAATAAATGTACACTAGAAGTGTGTAAAATAGCCTTAAAGACGTGCATGATATCTGTACTTGATACGGCAAAAGGCTGTTAAAGCTATTACTTATATCACAAGACAGTGTGTTGTATGGTACAATTTCAACAGTACAGGAATTTCCCACTTTTATTTTACATGCAAAATATTGGCACACAATTGTGAGGATATCATTCTATCATATTGCACAAGAAACCAATTATCACAAAATTTATTTTACTTGATACATATAGAATGCTCAGCATGTATTCCATATCAAAAAAAGCACCAGTTCGATCATGGGTCAACCCATGTAAAAAGCCTGTGTGATACACATAGTTATGTTATACCATTGGGCTGGAACACTGGTATCAAACTTTGTCCTGGCCCAGCTATGACATAAAATGGGATACTTCTTTTTTAAGCGAGTAAATGTCAGATAAGTTCTTGTTAACTGTTCTGAGTTTAACAAGACCAGCTGACCCACCTGCCCACGATCATGAGTTCCTTCTGTGATGCGTCCCTGCGGATGTTTCTCCACACGTCCATGGTGAAGATGGTGCTGGAACTGTTAAAAACTGAGGTGAGGGAACTCATCAGGGCTGCCACCATCACTGACAACATCAGGCCTCGTAAACCTAGAGGGATGGGAAAAAAATTAGGCCACAAGAGTTCTTTTAAGAACTATTCTATCTGACTTTGGAGCCTTCTGCAGAAATCTACATTGTTCAGACAGTGTTATACAGTTCCCTAAGGCTTGTTTAGTCCATCCATGAGTGTCCTGTCCCAGCCACATGTAAATTACTTTCCTTTATAATCAGTACATGCATCCTGGTGAGTTTATTGGCTCTCAGAAACATACATGTAAGACTAGATCCAGACATGCCCAGATAGCCAGACATTCAGCTTGGAAGCACCTTTATTAATTAATATCAAATTCAAACTAACACTTTGTTTGAAAACTTTAGGTAATATGGGCAATTGTGGTGGAGTGGAAACCACATCAGATTAAAGTGACCTACTTACCATCATAAAGTCACCCAGTGATTAGTAATAATAGGAATTCTCTGTTTAGTCTGGATGCCAGCCATTATATATGAAGCTGTCCATTTGCTTCCTAGCCAGTCTACCAGCCTTCAGAGGTGGCTGCTGAGAAAGAGTTGAAATTGGCCAAATAGACATACAACATGCCAGCGGAGTTAGTCTGCTATAAAGGGAGTACATTTTCTGTACCTGCCAAAGCCTGGTAGAGGCTATGATAAAGTTAAAAACACTGACATCCAGTCTATTTTTAGTCTCTGCATGTGCTGCTCTCTGGCTCTGGAAACAATGCACAGGAAGTACAGTTGTAACACTGTGTGACCCCTGACCAGGAAGTGTGACCTCTGACCAGAAAAGTGTGACCTCTGACCTGCAGGCATGAGTCCCAGCACCAGCTGAGGGTAGGCCGTGTTGCTGCATCCTGATTGGCTCTCGCACACCTGCTGACAGATGATTGGATCGGCACAGCCTACGATATCTGGGGGAATACATGTAGAAGATCAAAGCTGTATAACTAAGCATCTTGGAACCAATTTTGTTATCTCATTCAACTGCAGTACATGTATTCACTATTCATTTTATAACGGAACATTACATTTATTGAAGGCTATTAAGAGCGTTAACGTTACAATATATATAAGTTTATCTTTTTTGTGCTCAATTCGTTACAATGGATAACAAGTCTTAGAATCTTCTATATCAATTGTTATCTAGAATGTTAATCTTGATCTAAAAATTAATCTTGGCACTCTGTGGAGAAACAAAAATTTCTTGAATAGAAACCATATTAACTTGAGACTAACAATGTTTTATGACTATACATTTTCTGACTTGATCAGAAATTTCAGACATTCAGGATTATATCATATAGTCTATTAGTAAAAGTCAGCCATTGCAAGAATTTGACAGAAATAGATTTAGAAGTACCTGGGTACAGGACTCGACTGATCATTCCAGGCATGACTATAAGGAACATTGGCAGCATCTTCAAGAACATGGTGACCACACAGCCACCCTTGGCATGGGAAAGGGACTCAGCAGCCAAGCATCTCTGGACTATAACCTGAAAAACATATAGTCAACATGTTATATAATTATATTGTATGAAAGACTCAAGTTTTAGTTTATTGAACTATCAAAGTGAGAAAGCGTTATGCTTATTTATTTCCATTAGGCTCGTAGCCCACATAAGTACAGAAACTATACTTAAAATACTTTTAAAACAGTTCAAATTGCAGGATAATAATAGAATATAACAAAAATACCATGACAATGGGGGAGGATGAAACTGTGAAATTACATATTGACTAAGTTTTGTTTCTGTCCTTGGTACTGAAAAGTAAGTATTAGAGGCTACAGCTATATGATGGCCACCTGTTAACTGTGACCATTTTTCTTCCTTTGCATGGTCACTCTGCAATTTTCATGGATGAATGCTACTAAATTAAATGTATATAGGTTACGTCTAGCTTATTGTAGAATTATTGTAGTATAGGTTTCCTAGAACTACATCAATATGGAACAAACTTCCTTGTAAATGCTTTCCAAATGGGTATACATGTAACCTTAACCTTTTCAAGTCTAGGTTGAACAAACGTCTGTCTCTACAGTTCCTTAATGTAACCCAAACATGTAACTGCTTCATATGAGCCTTGTTTTGTGGTGAAAATTGAAGTATGTAAAAAAGTTTACTTCTAGTTCAAGCTCACAAACAACAGGTTGAGGTTACAACACTGTGGTATATAGATATAGAATACAACACGGGGTATTCCGTATCGCCTGAGGTATCGGCCCGACCGCGCGTCGGATCGCCCGGCGGCCGCAGGCCGGAGGGCGATCTGACTCGCGGGAGGGCCGAGCCTGAGGGCGATGCGGAATACACCGTGTTGTATTTTATTTATGTCATACCCACCCAAGAAAACACGCCTTTCAATGCAAGATGAGCCAAAAGTTGGTGCCACTGAACCCTAAAATGCAACAACATCAGTTCCAACGTCCGGATTCTGTATTCGAATTTTCGAAAGGGGCACAAGCGGGTAGGGCGAAACGCGTTCGAATCGTTTTATGGAAGCCATGGAAGCGTTCGATAACGGGTTCCGGACCGGGCCGTACCGTAAAGTACGGCCCGATCTGGAACCCGTTATCGAACGTTATCGCGGCCCAGGTATGATATAATAACTTTTACATTACCTGATCTGTACACCAGTACCACACGGATGCTATGAAGATCCCAGCAAACCCCGGCCAGGGAAAGTCAGCTGTTTCTGCTCCCCGGATCATGTGTAAGGCATCGGAGGGCGGTTTGCCACACTTCTCCAGGACAGTGTGGTTGCCGACAGTCGTGATGGCCTGTGGATACTTCTCATACAACCCCTCCATTCCTCCAACAACATGGAAACCTGTGTCAACAAACAAGTCAATTACTTGGCTAGTTTCAAATTGTAGTACTGTGGATCTATAAATTAGATGTTTCCTCTTTTGAGGTGAAGTAGAATACTTTTAAAATAGAAGAGAGTATGTGACACAACTTCTTTTTGACTGGCACACAAGGGCAGATCCCAAAAGGCTCACAGTTCAGAAAATGAGCACAAAGCACTTATGGGTTCTTCAAGTACTGGGTTGACATTCAAGTACATTTTGTACCATTTCTATCACCACTTAGTATTTTAGTAGTGTACCTTTTCTTTTACATGTACTTGTAGTCATTTTAACCAGTTGCTATGAAATACTGACAATTTAGCCTTCAGCATTTGTTAGGTAGAAAATCACAAGCATGGACCCATTAAACTCACTGCGTATGGTGACGACAAGAGCCCCGATAACCATCAGTACAGTCTGCATGGTGTCCATCATCATCACAGCACGCAGGCGACCTGGTAACATGGAGGAGAACAGATTCAAGTTAATATGTTGTTACATGTGAATAGTATAATTACATTTCTTACAAACAACCAATAGTACACACCATGACACTCAGAGCTGTGGGTATATCCCTAAAGGACAGACAATTTGATTTATAAGATTATACTATCTTTAGTTATTACTTGTGGAAATTGGTTTCTAAAATCAATAAAAGTATGGGGCAATTCCACTATCCTTATTAGAGCGCTGTAGATTTTAAAACAGGCAGGCTAACAAAAGTCTGAAACTGACCACTAAGAGGATGCTTATCATCATTCATACTCTTTGAAAAGATGAAGCATTTACAAAGTTTAGTCTTCAATTAAAGGTGACGCAAAGATGCCAAAATGCCTTTGGTTTCAAGAGAAGTGCCATAGTCTTCTTGCCATACAATTCATTGTCCATAGAAATATATACTAGTACATGTAATAAAAAGTCTGTACAGCCTGACTTCAGAAACACAGACCAGTGAAGTTGATATACTGTGATACTGACATACCTGTGAGAGTGAAGAAGCCAGTGATGATGATGAGTACTGCTACAGACAAGAACAGGTTCCAGTCCAGAGCTTGTTGGATGAACAGTGCACCAGCATACACATCCACCTGACAATGTGGGCAACAACACTTTAGCAGGTCAAATAGCAAACTTTATGGTTTTTTGTTCACAACCACTTGTTTAACAAGAGCCGATGTTTTGATATCTGTCTGTCCATTATCTAGGGCAATTATATATATTATGACTGGTTTACTGTGCACTAAAGCTTTTTTTTTTGCAAACAATACAGTCCGAAACATAAAGTACATGTAATTGTTACATACTATATTTTTTCTAATTTATTACAATGTATAACAATATTGAAATACATGTATGTGGTTCCAAATGTATAATTATATTGTTATATTGCAAACAGGTTGCAAAAAGTTCAGCTGTTTTACAGGAGATTGCATGTTCATCTATGATATGTGTTAGTACAAGAGGGTATTGAAGGGACTTACAGATATCTTGGTCAGGATGTACATGAGAAGGGAGAGCACAGTGGCATAGACCCTCAGTCTCCTACTCTTGAACCTTTTGTGAAGGTACTCTGGGACTGTGTAGACCTGGAAATGAATTAAATATTACATGCTGGTATTTGGTTGTTATGTTCATGAAGTCAATAAACCAAAGCTTAAGATGAAAATGTTTCATACATAATGTTTTGTATCCTTAATGTAGGTATGAAAAACAGGAGTATAGTTACTCTGACTTTTTTAAGGATACAGAATATGACGAAAAAAATTCAAACATGATGTTTTGTATCCTTTAGATTTTTATCAGTAAGTTTCACGTGTGGTATCCTGACATTTCTGGATTCTCTGTTTTTTTTTTTCAGATTGGTCAGTAGCAGCACGTCGGCAGAACCCTGTATTTTCACGATTTTCGGTTGATTTTTGGTCAACGTTACATCAGAATTTTGCCTGTTGCAAAGGATATCTTTTCCTACATAACATTTGGAAACTACAGACGGGATGTTAACCTTATATGCGCTAGTACGACCTTATATGAGACGTTCTGTCGAAGTGCTATGTACAATACATAACGGGTTTCGCGCAGGTGCAGTACGTTCTGCCGACGTGCTGTCAGTAGCAGGTGTCATAACGGAAGACTAACTGTCACTGAGTTTCATTGGTTTATAGCAAGTGTCCTGACAACTTTTGACTCTATGCTCTTATTGCTCAATAGTTGGTGTATGTCTTTGGTGTTCTGAGTGCTGATTGGTGAATTGGAATCTTACCCCAGCTGCCAGGTAGACAGGAACAAACAGCCAACCCAGGAGGAAAATAATGAATATTGACTGTGGAAACAATAATTTATAGCTTCAACATTTTTGTAAAGAGTTCATATCTACATGATGTTTGTAATTCAAACAAGGAATTTAAAACTTTTAATCAAACCACTGCATTGATAGATGGAAAAATTGTAACAACTCTGAGGAGAAGGGACTTTCTTCAACTGTCGGGGTTAAAATGTGAGCATTTTGGAGTTGATTCAGAGGCTGAAATGTTGTTTTTGCACATCAGAAAAAAATGAAGTCGGTGAATCTGTGAACCAACAAATTAAGTGTGGAAACCAATACTTACATTCCACTCAAACCCTGCTATGGCTATCCCTGTAGCAGCACCACTTCCAGCCAGACCAACAAAATGTTCACTACCAATGTTACTACTGAACAATGACCCTCCAACCTGGATGGAAAAAAATAAAAGTATTGCAAAATTTGTCACTTTTCTAAACATTTCTTCATACTTGTTACTCTTCTAGACCTAGATTAGATAGAGTGTATTCTCTAGTAGTTCCTAAGACTTTAAATTTACACTAGAATTCCGAGATCTCATACCTCCATGAAATATGATCTTGATATGTAAATGTAAATTTCTTCTTTAATTTTGCAAATGACCTCTGCATTAACATGATATATGCATCGTGATGTATGTTAACTTTTGATTAACTTACAGATGTCCCAAGTACATGTATGGCATTCTCATCATTCACCATTACGAAATCATAGAATTTTCGCATTAATTATGCAAATTAGGTCATCATTTGCATAATTAGTATCTGTTGAAGTTCCGCCTGCCATAGGTTACATACATTACATGTATGTAAGTAGTATAATGCAAAAAACTGTAATTATAGAATTTCCTCATTAATTATGCAAATGAAGTCCTCATTTGCATAATTTGCATTTAATTATGTACATCTCTCTCTCAGCTACCTACACACCAAAAATAATGAAAATATGTTGTTCCTGTCTGGACTTATTGGCTTTTAAACATTTCGCCAGAAAGTGCCCTGCAGTTCCAGAACAAGCCGCTAGGGGGCCCAAACTCATATGACTTTTTCCCCTACCTTCCATCAAAATTTCATGACCCTAGCATGTCCAGATCGCGAGATATCAAAACCGGAAGTTGCGCTGCAGTACCAAGGGAACCACTAGGGGGACCAAAATCTAATCATTTCCAGTTTTCGTCACACCCTACCAACACACCAAGTATGAAACCAATCCATCCAGGCGTTCTTGAGTTATCTTGTTGACCAACAGACGGACAGACGGACGGACAGATAAACGCAACTGAAAATATAACCTCCATGACACATTTCATGGAGGTAATAAGAATATATATATACTTTTCAAAACAATATATGTATAGTAAATACATAGAATTGTAAAACATATATGCTTAAGAAAATATATATACATTTTTCAAAACAATATATCTTAAATACATTTAATTCCAAAATATATATTGTTCACAAAAAGTGGTGTTTTCAAAACCCCTATCATATGAAAACATATATTGTTTACAAAAAGTGGTGTTTCCAAAACCCCTATCATATGAAAACATTCACAAAAAGTGGTGTTTCCAAAACCCCTATCATATGAAAACAGGAAGTGGTGTTTCCAAAACCCCTATCATTTCTAAACACCATATGTTTTCAGCAGTGCACGCGGTAACACAGTCAAATCTCTCACCAGAGTTTCTAGCACGGGCGACCACACTACTGTTGTGGGGGTGAGAGAAAACAAAACAATTTTTTTTCGCCTAGGTTTCTTCCCCTCTTGTCCAGTGATTCTTAAAGCTACACGTAATTAATTTTCATTCCAAAAAGCCTTTTCATTATTGTATTTTGGTCAGATCTTTGCATATAAGTAGGGATGTCACACTAAAAATAGGGGGCGCCAAGGATTGTTACAGAGTAGATTCTTCCGATCAGAACTTTTCCTTTCGTATAAAAAGGCACCAAAAGAGACCGTAAATCAACAATATTTGAAATATATATATATAAGGCTTATCAAAGACCAGGAAAAGGAAAACCAGGACCAAAGAAGAAATGTACTTTGTTAGATGAGTTTTTCCTGGTCTTAGTTAGATTAAAGGTTGGGTTGTTCACAAAGGACCTTGCATTTAGACTTGGCATATCAGAAAGCACTGTGTCTCGTGTGTTCACCACTTGGATAAACTTCCTGTCTTATGAGATTCCCATGCTGTTTCCAACTCCATCACAAGCTCGTGTTAGACATTACATGCCTCCACAGTTCCACAAGTACCCAACAACAAGAATTATATTGGATTGTACTGAGATTTTTGTGCAGATTCCTTCCTCCATGAAAGCACAGTCAGAGACTTGGTCCAACTACAAGCACCATAATACTTGGAAAGCATTGGTGGGGGTAAGTCCTAATGGGCAGGTGACATTTGTGTCTGAATTAGTATGGGGCGGAAGGGTTTCAGACAAGAAAGTCACCCTAGAGTCTGGTGTATTTGACTTCCTGGAGCCAGGGGACAATGTAATGGCTGACAGAGGGTTGAAATTCAAGATATTCTCCCACCAGGTGTAAAT